CCTCTTTCTCCTTTTTTTTTCTTTTTTTTTTTTTTTGGGTTTCCCTCACCTCTTTCTGGCTCTCGCTGGCCATTATGATGCTTCCTCCCGCCCAAGCGGCTGACGTTCAGAAAACGAATCCGTCCAAGTTCAATGAATCACCACAGCAGCAAGAATCACCACCCAAAGACCGCTATAATGAAAAAAAGCTGGACACGTGCGCCTGCACGAACCAGTCGATCAACGGTTCAAGGCCAATCATAAGCAGACGTGTCCAATCAACGGTTCAAGGCCAATCATAAGCATGCAGCCGTGTGACTCTGACTCTGCTGATGATGCTGCTGGCCTTCGTCCTTATCCAGAGGCCGCAGTGCAGAAGAATCCTAAACCCTAAAAACTCTGCACACATAACCAGAAAACAACCAATACACCAAAAGTTAACTTTTCACAAATGAATATATACAGTTAAGGCCGTAGAATCTTTCTTTTTTTCTTTTTTTTAATCGCCGCAGTTTTATCTTTTTTCATGAGATTGCCAGTATCTAATAATTATTAATTAAACCCAACACATAAGGCCGGTGCTGCTACCCCCCCGCACACACGGAAATATCAATGTGATAGCCGAGATCGACATAACTATCCACCTACCGATCTCATGCTCTCTCTCTCTCTCTCTCTCTCTCTCTCTCTCTCTCTCTCTCTCTCTCTCTCTCTCTCTCTCTCTCTCGCTTGCCATGTTTGGCCCCATAGTTTTCCGATCGACTACCAGCTGACGTTTTTCACCTCTCTCTGTGTGTGTGTGTGTGTGTGTGTGTGTGTGTGTGTGTGTGTGTGTGTGTGTGTGTGTGTGCACACGTAGAGAGAGAGTTTTGCAGTGAGAGAGAGAAAGAGGAAAGGAAGAATACTGGTGGAGGCTGGAGCTGTGTATATTATGAAAAATGTCTATTGTGGAAAACAGAGTCCAACGCTTGATTCGAGCAGGATGATGAAATGTGATAAAAAGCTGATGATGTGTATATAGCATGATGATGGAGTAATTAATTAAATTCATACACGATGATGACCGTGACAGTACGAACCAGCAGAAGCGAAAAAAGACGATGGAAACCAATCACCACTCCTTGTTCACCAATTTTAATCAATCCCTTCACCGATTTCAAAAAAAAAAAAAAAAAAAAAAAGAAGGCGACGGGCTTAAGATATCATCTTTTTCTTTTTCTTTTCCAAAGATATCATCTTTGAACTAACCGGCCCAAGCAATTCACAATTATTTTATTCTGTTCATCTGATTGATTCCAGCTGGATTCGAACTCGGGTCTGTATTTCAACACAGTTCATGGGTATAAATCCATTTACGGATTTTGATCTACTATCCATTTATCGATTTTTATTTTTTTTAACAAACAAACCAATCCAAATAAACATGCTTCTCTCGACCCCGGGGGGGGGGGGGGCCCCCCCATTTTTTCAACCCGG